AACGATCAATATGCAGAAAATGTACATCACACCCCGAATCAACCCTAAGACGTCCCGAAAAACGAGAATCAAGCTCGATTCGCCTAACCATCGCGCATTCCGATACCGACACCTCCATAAGCCTCCGACCACCCGAAATCCGAACACTCTCCAACAAACCGCACCTCTCGATCGCCACCTTCTCGAGTCGCCCAAACTCCGGAACGACCCGGAATAAAAAATCGTCCTGCACATCCGAGTCGTGCAATCTCAATTCCTCGACGCATTCGAAGAAATCCGAACCCATTAGACTACCTCGCACGCTAGCCTCACCCCCACCGTAACTAACCGAACGCACATTCCGCGCCAGAACCGACACAATCTGAACCTCGCTATCCCTACCGAGATAAAACTCCACAACTTCCAATTTCCGACATTCCATAGGAACCCTTACGACCTCGAAACCCTTGCACGAGACAACCGAGAGCTCCGTGAGAAGTTCGCAACGCGAGATCACACTCTCTAGGGTTTCTCGCCCGACGAAAACGTGCGAGAGCCTTAGCTTCGTGAGCGAAAACCGAGTAATATTTTCGTAAAAACAAAAATCGCGCTCGAGAAACCTGCATCCGAACAAGTCGAGACTTTTTAGAGTCGGGATGGCGCGGACGAGGGGTCGGGGGAGAATGTAGGGCCATCGGCGGCCGCCCTTTCTCGGTCGAGACGTGGAGAAGCAAGAAAGGACCAAGTGGCGAACGTTTTTTTCAGCGGCGAAAACGAGCCACCGGTCGAGGTGGGCCGGAGCAGGGCCGGCGAGGTTCACGGCAAGCTTGAACTTCTCAACTCCGGCGAACAGTGGCCGGTTTGCGATGGAAAGATCGACGTGTTGGTAGAATTGTTGGGTGAGTTTCTTGAGATTATAATTGTCGGGTTTTGACGGGCGGTGAGTGTGAGCCGATTTGAGGAAGGAGCGGAAGTCGAAATCCATGGTGGGGAAGGATTTCAAGGCGGAGTGCCATGTTTTGGAGAGGGAGGGTGTACGGAGGGCGTCGATTGTCGGGAGGAAGGAGAGAATGTTGTGAAGAATGGGCTCCGGAAGGCCGGAGATTATGTCTTCGTCGGGAGTTTTGGAGGTTTTTCTTCTCTTTGTAGGAGAGGTTTTCATGTTTGAGTTAGTAGTAACAGAAGTTTTCAACTTCTTTTATGTTGGTACGATAGAGGGCTTGACTTTGACTTGACCTTTAGTATACCGTTTGAGAGAGAGTAAAACAGGTGTCCTTTTTACATAAGGTTTTAGGAGAGAGAGAGTAAAACAGATTTCCTTTTTCATAAGGTTTTAGGAGAGAGTGCGTAGTTTCTTGGGGAGCAAGTTTCACTACTTGTGACCTAAAAAAATAGAGCATCTTTTAATGGGGGTATTATCCGTTTAGTGTTGCATAACAAGGAGCAAGAAACTTATTAAATTGTGTCTCCAATGTCCAATGGTCAATGTTAGAGATAATTTAATTTGACGTGTGCAAAATTATAATTGGTTGAAGAAGAAAGATAAATTATATAAATAATATAATATATAATAGAAGTTGTTTAAAAGTACTTTACACCTAAGAAAATTTCTAGTTTTTTTTTTTTATGCCACAAAGATTTTTTTGTGCTATGTGCCAACCAAATAATCCAATTACCATTGGAGATGCTCTTATAGCTTCGTACTTGAAAATCACAATTGTTTGATAAAATGTTTGTGAACCCAAAATTATAGCTTCATACTTGTGAACTCCAAAATTACAGCTTCGAATGACAAATTTTGCATTCATACCAAGAAAAAAAAAATAAAAAAAATGAGCCAATGTACGTATACGGGATGAATTAAGAAGGGTTTTTTTCAACATAATTTCTCAAATTAAAGCAAGATAAATTGAGTTGTAAATCGGGAAAATAAAGAACAAAACAAATTCAGGTTTCATCTTCCCCTAGTCCTCAACCCCCTCTCTCCCTTGTCTCTCTATTTCTTTACATATGTATGCAGCGGGTTACCCACAGATAAACCGGGGATGATAGGGTTTTGGGTCGAGTTCAGGTAAAATTATGCTACTCGAACTCCAAGTCGGGTCTCATAAAAAAACCCGTTACACCCTACCCGATTACTCTACCTGTTTATCCGCAAACATTAAATTTTATACATATATATGTGTATATATATATATTATAATAAATATAAAATTAATTATTTATTATAACTTTGGTTGATGGTTTAAATTTATTTTATTTTTCTGATTTTTTTATCAATTTTTTTTAGTTGTACAATATAAAATTTAAATATTTAATTTTTAAATGTTATATTATTAACTAGACTATAAAAAATAAATAATTATATTTCAATATTTATTTGGCTGAAAAACTGGAAAGTTCAACGGCCTCACATTTTACTATGAGCCCAACTAGATAATAACAACTGCGTGGTGAGGAATATATTTGGGCCTTAGCTAGCCCAACTCTATGAGATAAAGAACAAAAAAACAAATGGCTACATAATTTCAACTAAACAGAAACTACCCATGGAAAATTAATTATTCATGCCAGATAGGAATGGAATAAAATCCGATATAATACTATCAATAAATTTTAAATTATTCTATGTTATGTTGGCTATTAATAACATTACTGTGTCTTTATATGTATATACAAAATGGGAATTTCTCAAAATATCAAAAGCGACAAATCTTGTTATCGTGTCGTGTTCATGTTTCACTTATTTTGTGTTATCTATATTATTTGATAATAAACATAATAATAAATCCAAATTTAACTATTGTTTTAATTTCATACTATTCTTGTTCTGATTCATGCCGTATAGTATCATTTCGTGGTCGTCGTGTAATTTATCTCTTTAATCGTGTTTGTGTTTCATGTCATGGCGGTCATTAACCACCCTCAAACATTTGTTTTATGTTTTTTTTTTTCTTTTTTATTTGGGTTTTTAATGGGATAAAATATGTTGTGTGTCTCATGTGGAAAGACTTCATTTGGTTTACCACTTGTTCTAATCACATTCCATTGAACACAAATGCTTAACGTGTGATTGTCAAAGGCCACACAAACTTGAACCACAAAATGCCAGAAAAACATACAAATACTATATGGATACACAAAGAAAAATCCAACACCGAAGAACAAATTGCAGTCCACGCACGTCAGCCCTAAATTATTTCAGAACCCAATGAGATTCTGACACGTCAGCAGACGAGCCATCAAGGATTTCTTGCTTTCGTACTGGTGTGTGCTATTATTATAAATGTGAGATTTGGGTAGGGTTATGTTAATTATTAAAAAACTGCACATATAAGGAGATAAAAATATAAATATAAATATCTGCCTTGCTTAAAGAGTGCCATTTAAAATGAATAAAATAATTTAACCAATGTCAAATGGACCTCCAATTGAAAAAATCAGAAAGAAAAAGAAAAAGAGAACTGGTAAAAATATTGGGAAGCCTCTATACAAGAATCTATGACTAGGCATGCATATCTAATAGTAGTAGTTAGACAATTATACTTAAAAAAATTATTTTTAGAATAAACTGGCATACCTTAGACAGCAACATAAATAAGATTATACCATTTTTAACATAAATTTGTATTGTTATTTAAAATGTATGACATATCAACTTTGTGAGTACTTACCGCCCAAAATTTATGATTGCCATAGTGTTCACATAATATTTGGACAAGATAGAAATGAAGGATTGTCTTTGTGGTCCATATATATATCTGCCCCTTCTCGTGACCATCTGTTTGTTTCTTCTTTTATTTTAAATCTTAGTATTT